CATAGTAAAAATCAGTTTTGACCTTATTTCGACCCTATTTTGACCAGATCTGCAAATGGTCAAAATAGTTTCGACTTCATGTATAGTTGCAACCAGGTGTCACAAACCATTTTTATATGTCGCAAATATGGTTGCAACCATCACCAAGAATTGCAGCCAGCATCTATATTATGGTGTGGTTGACATTGTTGTGATTAAATTCAAGCCATTATAAAAAAATAGTTAATCTATAATACACTTATGTGTTAACCCTCACTGAAATTGTGTAGAAGGTGCATAGAATGTTATCCTGATGAGATCGATGGATGAAATTTTGTCAATATTATTCTTACAACTAGAATATTTTAATTAATAAAAACCCCATTTTTTAAAACCTGATCTTTTACAATAATTTGATTCAGATGTCTTGCAGTTCAATCACTTGTTGTTTGATAAAATTTAAAGCTTCAAAATTTTTAATGAAATTTTATTTTTAAAAAGAAAAAATTTTTATTGAAATAATTATATGTAGTTACTATAACACCCAAAACTCACATCAGTTTTTAAAACAGTCATAGGCTAAATACAGTGGTTTAAATGAAAACAATTTAACAAATAAATAATCTTGTATGATCTAATTAAAGAAATCTTCAGTTAACAGTTTATTTAACTGGTTAATTGAAGATTTTTACAATTAAAAAATTTTTAGGTGGTTGGTTCCAATTTTTATAATTGGCCTGAACTATGTGGAGCTTAAAATAGAGACAAAATATTTCATGTAATAATACCTGATCACATTGTTAAAAAAAATTTATAATGTAAAATTACTTTCTTGTAATAGTAATAAAAAGGATAAAAAAACTAATGTGAAAATTCCAATAATTTAAATATTTATATCCATTAGGTGGGAAACTGTAAATATGATAATTTATGTTAACATTAATGTTAATATTGAATTTTAAATTAATAATCAAATAGTTGATGATAATTACCATTATTGTTACTAATAATTGTAACTTTGTTGGAATTTACAAGTTGAGGAAGATTTGTAAAATTCAATAATCTACTTGTATAAATAGCATTTGGGTGAACAGTTACCATAATTGTTGAGGGATTAAAGGGTTTTTTATTTGCTTCCTCAAATAATTTTTTTATTTCTTCTAATTCATCAAGCTGTTCTTTAGAATAACTAGAAATATTAGATTCAATTGCATCTCTCCAAAAAG